TTCCATTGGTGTTGATTGTAGAACCAAGCAATATGAAGTCTTTGACAACTTCAATCTTTTCTCCATTTATCATGATGTTGCTTATTGGTCCAGTTGTGAGGATTTTTGCTTTCTTTATATTGAGGTGTAATCCATACTGCAGACTGCAGTCTTTAATTTTCATCAGTAAGTGCCCCAAGTTACGCTCATTTTCAGCAAGCAAAGTTGTGTTGTTAATGAGCCTTCCCCCAATCCTAATGCCATGATCTTCTTCATATAGTCCAACCTCTCAGATTATTTGTTTATTTGTTTAGCATACAGATTGAATAAGTATGGTGAAAGGATTCAACCCTGACGCACTCCCTTCCTGATTTTAAACCACACAGCATCCCCTTGTTCTGTTCGAATGAAAGCCTCCTGGTCTATGTACAGGTTCCTCCTGAGTACAATTAAATGTTCTGGAATTCCCATTCTTCTCAATGTTATACACAATTTGTTGTGATCCACACAATCGAATGCCTTTGCATGGTCAATAAAACACAAGTAAACATCGTTCTGGTATTCTTTGCTTTGAGCCAAAATCCATCTGACATTAGCTATGATATCATATCCCTCGCTCCACATCCCCTTCTGAATCCAGTTTGTGTTTCTGGAAGTTCTCTGTCTGTATACTGCTGCAACCATTTTTTAATTATCTTCAGTAAGATTTTACTTGTATGTGATATTAATGATATTGTTAAATAATTTCCACATTCTGTGGGATCACCTTTCTTTGGAATGGATATAAATATGGATCTCTTTCAGTCATTTGGGCAGGTACCTGTCTTCCAAATCTCTTGGCATAGATGAGTTAGTGCCTCCAGTACAGCATCTGTTTGTTGAAACCTCTCAATGGGTATTCTGTCAACTCCTGGAGCCTTGTTTTTCACCAGTTCCTTCAGTGCAGCTTCGACTTCTTCCTTCAATACCATTGGTTCTTGATCATATGCCACCTCCTGAAATGGATGCTCATCTATCAATTCTTTGTGGTATAGTGACTCTGTATTCCATCCATCTTCTTTTGATGTTTCCTATATCATTCAACATATTTCCTGAGAAATCTTTCAATATTGCAATTCGAGGCTTAAATTTTTTCCTCAGTTCTTTCAGCTTGAGAAATGCCAAGCATGCTCTTCCCTTATGGTTTTCCAACTCCAGGTCTTTGCACAGTTCATTATAATAATTGACTTTGTCTTCTCGAGCTGCTCTTTGAAATCTTCTGTTCAGTTCTCTTATCCCGTCAATTTTTCTATCTACTTTAGCTACTCTGCATCCAAGGGCAAGTTTCAGAGTCTCTTCTGGCATCCATTTTGGTCTTTTTTTCTTTTCCTGTCTTTTTAGTGACCTTTTGCTTTCTTCATGGATGATGTTCTTGTGTCATCCTACAGTTCTTCTGGTTTTCGGTCATTGGTGTTCAGTGCATCAAATCTATTCTTTAGGTGGTCTCTAAATTCAGAAGGGATATAATCAAGGTCATATTTTGGCTCTTGTGGACTTCTTTTAATTGTCTTCAGCCTCAACTTGAACCAGCATATGAGCAGTTGATGGTCTGTTCCATAGTCAGCTCCTGGCCTTGTTTTGGCTGAAGATATAGAGCTTCTCCATTGCCTCTTGTGACATATGTAGTCAATCTGATTCCTGTGTACTCCATCTGGTGAAGTCCATGTGTATAGCTGCTGTTTGTGTTGTTGAAAAAAGGTATTTGCAGTGAATAAGTCATTGGTCTTGCAAAATTCTATCATGCGATCTCCAGCAACATTTCTATCACCAAGTCCGTATTTTCCAACTACCAGTGATTCTTCTTTGTTTCCAACTTTTGCATTCCAATTTCCAGTGTTAATTAACACATCTTGATTGCCTGTTTGGTCAATTTCAGATTGCAGAAGTTGGTAGAAATCTTCAATTTCTTCATCTTTGGCTTTCATTGTTGGTGTGTATTAACTGGTCTTCCTTGTAGGTGTAAGGATATTATCCTATCACTGACAGCATTGTACTTCAGGACAGATCTTGAAACAGTCTTTGTGATGATGAATGCCATGCCATTCCTCTTTAATTTGTCATTCCCAGCATAGTAGATCATATGGTTGCCTGATTCAAAATAGCTAAAACCAGTCCATTTCAGCTCACTCATACTAGGATATTGATCTTTATGCATTCTCATTTCATAGAGATATGTTGTTGTTGTGTGTTGTGTTGTTGTTTGCCGTCAAGTCAGCCCCGACTCATAGTGACCATAGAGATATAGAGATGACTAAAATATAGTCCCTGCTGAGAGGAGCTTATAGTTAGGAGATGCAAATAAGCAGACAATTTCACTGTAATAAGATTGTGGGAGCAAGATGGGGGATTGATTTACTGCTTAGGAGAGCTAGTTGTATCTTGTGATGAGCCAGGAGATAAGACTTCGGGGTAGAGATAGGTTTTGAAAGATGCTGACATCCTTGGGGAACAGTTAAAGCACAGACATAGCTCAGGAGAGTGGCACAGGATGAAGGGGGAAGCTCGGCCCAGATTAGGCAGGGTTTTCGTGTTCAATGTAAAGAAGTTAAAGCTTTTTGAATAGTTGACTTTTCCTCCCCATTTCCTTTCAAGGGCAGGTACTAATGGGCAGGGTATAGTCATAGATGTACTTTGCCTTTGACCTCTCACCTAAACTCTAGGTCGACCATGTAGCAGTTGTTTGAACAGAACAAGAGGATACTGCGTGGTTTTAAATCAGGAAAGATGCATCAGGGTTGTATCCTTTCACCTACTTATTCAATCTGTATGGTGAATGAATAATCTGAGAAGCTGGACTATGTGAAGGAAAACACTGCATCAGGATTGGCAGCAGGATTAGAAGACTCACCTGAGATATGCAGATGACACAATCTTGCTTGCTGAAAGTGAAGAAGTCTCTACACTTACTGATGGATCAAAGACTACAGCCTTCAGTATGGATTGTTGTTGTTATTGTTATGTGCTGTTGAGTTGGACCTGACTCATAGCGACCCCTCCTTGGGTTTCCGAGGCAGTATCACTACGTAAGTAGATTGCCCCATCTTCCTTCCGAGGAGTGGCTGGTGGGTTACACCTCATCATAAAGAAAACAAAAATCCTCACAACTGGACCAGTAAGCAATGTCATGATAAATGGAGAGAATCGAAGTTATCAACGATTTCATTTTACTTGGACGCACAGTCAACACCTATAGAAGTAGCAGTCAGGAAATCAAATGACATATTGCACTGGGCAAATCTGCTGCAGAGATCTCTTTAAAGTGTTTAAGAGCAAACATGTCAGTTTGAAGATTAAGGTGTGCCTGACCCAAGCCATGGTATTTTTAATCACCTCATATGCATGTGAGACCTGGACTGCAGAAGAATTGATGAGTTTGAATTGTGGAGTTAGCAAAGAATGTTGAATATGCCATGGACTGCTAGTGGAACAAACAAATCTATCTTGGAGAAAGTACAGCTGGAGTGCTTCTTAGATGTGAGAATGGTCAGAATTCATCTCTCATACTTTGGTCATGTTATCAGAAGAGACTAGTCCCTGAAGAAGGATATCATGCTTGGTAAAGTAGAGCGTCAGTGAAAAATGGGAAAACCCTCAACAAGATGGATTGACACAGTGGCTGCAAAGATGAACTCAAGCGCGGCAACAATTGTGAGGATGGTGTAAGACTGGGCAGTGTTTTGTTCTGTTGTACAGAGGGTTGCTATGAGTAGAAACCCACTCGATGGCACCTAACAACAACAACACCATTTCACCATTTACAAAATATTATTTCTCCTGAGTGACCACCTCTTCTGAATTCCCTTATTCTGTCCATATTTACACCATCCAGTTTACAAGCAGTTATTGAACTACTGTATGCAAAACACTGTTCCAGGTTCCATTGGAGATAGAGTTTATTTCACTGAAACTAATTCCTGCCCTCAATAAATCAACCTAGCTGGTGGTGATGGTGAGGGGGCCAGAGGGTAGGGAGTGGGGCCAGGAGGAGGGAACATATGAAGCCAGATATACAACTAATTGTGTGTGTGTGTGTGTGGGTGTGTTCCAGCCATCTTGAGGAAATGTCCACATTGTCTGCCTCCTTCAATCCCCGTAGTTTCCAAACCTGTTATCTATCTCCTGGTCTTCCACAATACCCTCAACACACCGTCTCCCAGAGTCAGGTGATTCAGTTAGACTGTAAACCCCATGAGTGCAGGGACAACCTCTGCTTTGTTTGTTACTGTGTCACCAGAACTTATTACAGTCTTCCATATAGTGGTGGTCAATAAATATTTGATGAGTGATTCAAGTTTGATTGTACCTGCCTCAGAAATCTTCAGTTGCTCTTCTGCTTTTAGAATAAAAATCTGTCTTCATTTGGCCTATAAGACCTAAGACCTACTACATTCAGCCACAACCAACTTCCTTTTTTTTTTTTTTCTTTTTAGTACCTTGAAGGCCAGTGTAACCAGAGATTAATGGTTTTTGCCCCAGGCACTTGTATTCTTCCACCTCCATTCCACAATAAGGTTCATCCAAGTTTATAGGCTCTTGGAGAAAGCTTCCATTGCCCAGCTGCTCTTTCCAGCTGAGACTCCCTGCCACTCTAAGTCAGCCCCTAGCACACATTCTGCCTTCTGCCCAGCCACTAGAGAGTGAGCTCTTTGAGGGAAGGCCTTTTCCCAGAGTCCCAAACTGGGCTTGTCACAAACAGAAAATGTGTTGGTTATATGGATGGGGTTATCACCAGAGGGCCCAGCCTGAGGCCATGATTCAGGGGCTTAGTGTCAGGAAGAAGCCGTGTGCAACTCTGGAGGGCAAGGCTGAAATGGCCTGACTGAGGCGGGCTGAGAGATGCCAAGGGAAGGGGTGGAGAGTCGGGGCTGGGTGTGCTTCCTGCACCGGGATCTGGCGGCCCGCCTCTGCTCCCGCCCCTCCGGCTGAGCAGAGCTGAGCCCAGCCTGGGCTGGACAACCCCTCCTGCCTCCGGCTGGCGGCCCAATCAGCAGGCGCCCCCCAACCCGGCCCGCCCCCTCCCCCTCGGGTGACAGAAAGTCGGCCCAGCAGATGAGGAAGTGGCAGGCAGGCTGGCCCTGGGGACTTCTCTCTGGCACTGCTCTCTCCGAGCCCCTCCACGACAGCCCAACTGGCCCACCACTGGTGAGTCTGGACCTTCCACCGGCTCTCCACGTGCCAGGGTCCCCTGCCTGGCTAGGCAGACCAGGCCCTGCCCTGCCCTGCCCAGACTACGGGCTAAGCTGTTTCTGGGGACAGTGGGTGGGAGGTCCCAGCTCACTGGGGCTGGGCCTCTCCAGCAACCTCCTCCCCACCCCTCCCGCCCCCATTTGCTTAAACTTAGGCCTTCCTCCACCCCCTTTGGTCTTGCCCTTCTCCACCTCTAACACCTCCCTTCTTTTCTCTTCTCCTCTCCCCTCCCCCTGCCTTTGCCTGTCTCTTTTTCCCTTCCATCCCTCTCAAAGGAAGGAAGGAATGGGCTGAGTTCCCCTACCGGGACACACCCAGATCTCCCTTAGGCATTCAGAGAGGTCTTTTCCAGAAGCCGTGAGCTACTCTTGACCTCTGTGGTGCATGTGTGTATGTGTGTGTGGGAGGAGGGTGAGCTTGGGGTGGTGGTGGTGGTGGTGGTGGTGGTGGTGGAGAGACGATAGCGTGCTGGCCAGCTCACATGTATAAGAGGAACTGTGTGTTAGAGCACATGTCTAAGTGAGGTCGGCCCTACCACAGAATAAGCATCTAAAAAATCTGATTGTGAATGAATGAATGATAAATGTCACCCGTGGAAAGAGATGTCTGACTGACTAAGTGCAGGTGTGTGTCTGGATATGATGTGGGCGATTTTATGTTCATTCACCTCTGAGTGATCTATATGAGTTTATGTATGTGACCACATAGATCTGTGACTCACATATATGTGAGGAAACCTGCATGTGTAACTTCAAGAGGGTGTGGGCCTGAGTGTGCACTATTGCATGGGGTATTGTGGGACCTGTGAAGCGAGTCCCCTAACTGAGTGGGTCGGTGTTTTGCCAGTGTGAATGTAGTAGTAAAGAACAGGTCTTAGTATAAGAAACTCCGCATGTCAGAATTCGTGGGGTTTTGTATTGGTGGTATGTGAGAGAGAGTTATTGCCAGCAGAAGGTATGTGGGTTCTTTATGTACATACATTTGTTGGCCATCAGTGAGTTTCTTGTTTTGGGGGTGGAGAGTTGTGTGAGAGATTGGTGTGTGTGAGAAGGGTGTGTATGTGTGTGGATGACTTGATGCTTGAGCATAGTGGATGTGAAAAAGTAAGAGGAGGTGGAGGTGTGGGGGAGCACCTGTGAGATGTGTGTGTGTGTGTGAAGGGGCCTATGTGCAGCCTCTGGTGGATGCATCAGCAGGTCTCTTTCTTCTCTTAGCACTGCACAGGTGGTTTTCTGGATAGAGGGAACTAGGCAGACTAGGTGCAGGAAGTTCTTCAGCACCTGCTGCCCTGAATGTGTGGGGAATGGCTGGTCCCTCAAGACTATCTCAGAGTCCCAAGTCTCCATGATCTGGGCAGAAGTTTTTGTGTCCCTGTGAGCCCTCCCCCAACATTCCTTCAATCTCTGAGGGGGAGGGGACCTAACCAGTTAGCCCCCCTCCCTAAGGGAGGGGAAGATTCCTGAGTTCTCCCCTACTCTCCCACCTCCTCACATGCCACTAGCTTCCTTGCCCTTCCCTGGGAGGGAAGGGTGGGTGATTGTACCCATTCTGAAATAGGACAGACTGAGACTTTGTGGCTGGTTCAGGAGAGCATGCTGGGTGTGTGTTTTCAGTTTTTTTGGCCAGAATTGGGGTGGAGGCAGGGGCCAGAGAGCCAGAGCCCGGGTAGGTTTCTGGCTTAGAGGAGACACACAGTCCCTAGGATCTTAGCCCATCTGATTGGTCCAGGGTGGGTGGGTGGGTGAGTTTGGGGGCTTTATTTGACTTTCCCAATCCTGTCGGGTCCTGATTCCCCAGGCTCTGACCTGTGGCCTAGACCCACCCTCCACCCCATGCACAGTGTAGTGGGGGTGGGCAGAGGGCGGGGCTGCTGCCAGATCTAGTCAGACAGGTGGAGCTGCCAGGGCAGGAGTCTCAAAGAGCCAGGCTCCAGGAGAGGAAGGACTGAGCAAGAGCAGAGCACCTGAGAGGAGAAGAGAGGAGGTGAGAGCCCCGGATGGTTGGCAAGACCTAGGGAGCTGAGTGTCCTAGCAGGGGAGAGGAGGGATCCCAGGTCAATGAGATTCCCCTAAGGGACTGAAGGGCCAAGGAGGGGGGTCCTAGCAGGGAGAAGAATGACTGTGGAGGTGAGAGACCTGAGAGAGGAGGGGAAAAGAGAGGTAGAAAGGGAGAGTACCTGGAGAGAAGAAAGACCCAGCAGTGGGGAGGTGAGAGACTAGCAAGGAAGAGAGAAGAGGTGCATTCTGGAGATGAGTTTCCTGCTGGTGAGGAGGTAAGACTCTAGAAAAGAGAGGATCTTGAGAACAACAATTAAGAGTTCTCTCTTGGAGAAAGAGTGGAGGAGGTGGTGGTGGTGGTGGGGGGGAAGGTCAGAAAGTAAACATCTCTGGAGAATAGAGGAGAGGACAGGATAGGACAGTAAATTGTGGAGAAGGGTAGAATAGCCCTTCCCAGGCAAGCAGGATGTATGGGGAGCAGATGCCTTCACCAGACTGCCTCCTCCTACCCTGAATCCCCAACAATTCCTTCTTCTCACTGTTCTCTGTCCTTTCTGCCATGAGGCACAGGCTCTCTCATCTGTTTCTGAGGGTCAGGAGTGGATTGGAACAGTGCAGTGGGCCCTGGCTGACACCCACCCTCCGTGTTTCCTCAGAGTCCTTCTCCAGGATGGAGGCTGTCGTGAACTTGTATCAGGAAATGATGAAGCATGCAGGTAAGATGCTATCTGCCAGCCACTTTCTCTCTTCTTCCCTGGGAATCCTTGATCTGGGGCTGTTTCTGAATGGAGAATCCTTGTGAACCTGATGGGGATATTTTGAACCCTGTGATCCTTCCTGACTCCTTTGACCCTTGTTCACAGATCCCCGGATCCATGGCTACCCTTTGATGGGGTCCCCACTGCTAATGACCTCCATCCTCCTGACCTACGTGTACTTCGTTCTCTCACTTGGTCCTCGAATTATGGCCAATCGGAAGCCCTTCCAGCTCCGTGGCTTCATGATTGTCTACAACTTCTCACTGGTGGCACTGTCCCTCTACATTGTCTATGAGGTGGGCCCCTGAGATACCTGTGTTAATTCTTGGCAGGAGGATAAGGGGTGGGTTTAGGATGAGACGATGGCACCTCTCCTTTCCAGAGAGGCTCAGGTCCATCTCTTCAGCTAGAGAAGGGGAGGCATGGGGTGGAGGGTCTGGTAGTCGAATCCACACTCCTTCCTAGTTCCTGATGTCTGGCTGGCTGAGTACCTACACCTGGCGCTGTGATCCTGTGGACTATTCCAACAACCCTGAGGCACTTAGGGTAAGTAGGGACTGGGGGCTAGATCATAAGTAACTTGGGGGATAGGAGCACAGGGTGACCTTTGCTCATAGCCCAGTTTAGGGAGGCTCTTAGAGCAGTGTGGGGGGTTCTAAGGCTGCCCTGATTTCTTGCAGATGGTTCGAGTGGCCTGGCTCTTCCTCTTCTCCAAGTTCATTGAGCTGATGGACACGGTGAGTGGTTATGTAAGATGTAAGAACTTGAGGCAGGGTGAGAAGGGAGAGAGATTTGCTCTGACCCTCCACCTCCAAACTTCTCAGGTGATCTTTATTCTTCGGAAGAAAGATGGGCAGGTGACATTCCTACATGTCTTCCACCACTCAGTACTTCCCTGGAGCTGGTGGTGGGGGGTAAAGATTGCCCCTGGTGAGTGGTAAATGCCATTGGGAGGAGGGGGTGGACACTGGGGACCAGAGGCTTGACTTGCCTGACCCTCTTTCATTGTCCACTCACAGGAGGAATGGGCTCTTTCCATGCCATGATAAACTCCTCTGTGCATGTCATCATGTACCTGTACTATGGATTGTCTGCCCTTGGTCCTGTGGCTCAGCCCTACCTTTGGTGGAAAAAGCACATGACAGCCATCCAGCTGGTGAGGGGCTCCAGAAGTTCCTAGAACTTTCTTCCCAACATTCCTAGTGTGAATCATACCTTAATCCACCCTACCTAACCTTTGACCCCATTTCTCCCAACATTTCAGTCTCTTCCTCCATCCTTTTCCCCTCCAGTCCTCTATTTCCTCTGACCCTTACATTTCTCTATTCTAGATCCAGTTTGTCCTGGTCTCACTGCACATCTCTCAGTACTACTTCATGCCCAGCTGTAACTACCAGTTTCCAATCATCATCCACCTCATCTGGATGTATGGCACCATCTTCTTTGTGCTATTCTCCAATTTCTGGTATCACTCTTACACCAAGGGCAAACGGCTGCCCCGTGTACTTCAGCAAAATGGAGCTCCAAGCACTGGCAAGGTCAAAGCCAACTGAGAAACATGGCCTAGGTAGGCGCCCACCTAAGTGCCTCAGGACTGCACCTTAGGCAGCATCCATCAGTGTCCTCCCCGCCTACACCTGTGACCAGGGCTTATATGGTCAAGACTGAGCAGGGGACAGGCCCTCCCGTCCCCACAACTGGTTCAAAGGGACCACTGCCTCATCCACTTCTTTAGGCCAGCCCTAGGGACCTGGCCTCATTGCCTTCTGTTACTTCAGAGCTGGGGGCTAAAAGGGCTGGACACTTACTTCCCCCTCTCTGCCTTAAACTTGGGGAAGGAGCACTCAGGGCTGGCCCCCACCAGGGTCTTACGGCCTTTTTCTCACACTGAAGAGGTCAGCAATAATCTGTCACTGTGGACCCAGATGCCCTCCTTCTCCACCCCTACGCTGAAGCAGGAGCTTCTCGGCCAAAGGTCAGGGTGGGTGAGGGACCTGGAAATACAGCCAGTGGAGGCTGCTCACTCACTATGTCTTAATTAAAAGTGACAGAGGAAACCGCCAAGGCTGTTTGTGTGTGTGTGTGTGTGTGTGTGTGTGTGAATGGTAGTGGTTGGGGTACAAAGCCTCCTAGCCCTGTCTAAACCAGGAGGGATGGTCAAGGCTCCCACAGGACATTTTTAGTTCTGATCACAGTAGAACAGAGCCCCTGGGAAGGCTGATGGGATATGGGTCATGTAAGAAAGAGAGACATGACTTTATTAGAAAAATTAAAAAAACAAACAAAACACAGGTGATGGGTTGGTCCTCAACGGATGCCTTGGTGGATGAGGCTACTTTTGGCTGCACTGGCCTTCTCCCGTTCCCGCCGCCGTGCAGGGTCCAACTCAAAGCAGCGCCATAGCCGCAGGGTCTCATCTGCGGCTGCTGATGCCACAGTGGCCCCATCTGGGCTCATGGTCAGACTCAGGACTCGGGCTGTGTGGCCTAGGGTATGAAGAGAAACAAAGTCAGAGCAGGACACATGAATGTAGATACAGCCCACAGCCTCCAATTGATGGCCACCTATCTTTTGTGTTTTTTATAATAGTTTTATCGAGAGAGAATTTCACATGCCAAAAATTTACCCTTTTCAAGTAAACAATCCAGTGGTTTTTAACTAGACAGGTAGTCCCTGGGTTACGAATGTCAGACTTGTGTGCAACTCGTTACAAACCAACCCCTCGTAAAGCCTATTATATTAAAAATTCGAGGTACAATGGTTTGTAATAACAAATGGATGGTATTTGTGACATGCATCAAAACATTATTACTGTATTATTATGTTAAAAGATGTTTTAATGTATCTGGAATGTTTAATGTTTTTTATGCATAGAATGGTGCACTATATACTAAGAAACATTTGACCGACTTTAGATACAAACCATACCTATGGACTTACCTACAAATTCAACTTATACTTCGTAATACAACCCATGCATTATCCAGGGACTACCTGTATCCAACAAAGCTCTGCAGCCATCACCACTAATTCCAGAACATCTATCTGCATTAGCCTAAATAGAAACCCTATACTCATTAGCAGTCACTCTTTCCCCCTTCTCCCTCCCCTCCAGCCTCTGGCAGCCACTAATCTACTTTGCCTCTATGGATTTGCATATTCTAGACATTTCATATAAATGGAATCATACAATATATAGTATTTTGTATCTGGCTTCTTTCATTTTGCTCCTACCTTTGAGTTCAGCCACCTTAGCCATGGTTGGGTACTTCCAAATAACCAGTTGGTTCTGAGCAAAGCCATGGCCTGAGATGAGCTCCTTATAGTGGGGAGACCAGAGGATGGAGCACACCTGTGGAGAGGGAATGGTGTGGACATCACATACACAACCAGAGCTACTCAAATCAGAACCAAGTGTTACACACCCTGCCATGTGCTATAGACTCAGATCTTAATGATCACAGTCCTTTGAGAGTTAAAATTATCCATGTTACAGATGAGGAATTGAGAGAAAAAATTTCAGCAAGTTACCTAAGTAGGTGGCAGAAACAATGTGAACTCAGGCCATCTGGCTACAGAACTCAGGTGGGAGGGTGGAAGGAAAAGCTGGCATGGTTGCTAGAAGGCCCACCAACAAGGGCTTCAAATATCATTCTAATAGATACGGATTATTGTAGGTGATGGGGAGCCATAGCAGGGTTCACAGAGGTCAATTACAAATTTATAGTTCAGAAAGGCCACTCAGACCACAATGTAGAGGACAAATTAGAGGAGATCAGGAAGAATACTGAGAGACCACAGAGGAGATCACTGCAATGGCCAGTGGGAAGAAGGATGAAGCTGAGGGTGGGGGACAGATGTGAATGATATTCTGATGTTAAACTGATATATCTTGGTGACTATGTGATGAGAATGAAAGATTCTAGGAGGCTTTTCAAATTTCTGAGTAGGTTCTGCTATTCTCAAGCAATATATGAAGAGGAGGAACACGCAGGGAGGCAGGTGGAAGTGGTAAATTCAATCTGGGAAACACTGAGGTGGTGGAGTGGCTGTGGGACATAACAAACCCACTGCCACTGAATCTGTTCCAACTCATAGTGACCCTATAAGGGACAGAGGTTTTGATAATGCATAGTGTTTCTAAGGATGTAAATATTCAGGAAGCCACATCTTTCTTCCATGGAGCAGCTAGTGGGTTCAAACTGCCATCCTTTTGGTTAGCAGCCCAATGCTTTAATCACAGCATCACCAAAGCTCCTTTATAGGACACACAGGGTTAGAGATATCCCACAGAACACTGGAAATATGGGTAAGGAGCTCATGAGTGAAAGCTGAGTTAGAAGTTTGGGAACCATCAGATAAAGAGCTGGTAAAGCCATTGGAGTGGACATGGTTACTCAGACTAGAAGAATACATTGTAAAAATGCTACCTGAGAATGGGCATCTACAGCACTAAGACAAGCCCCAGAGCAGACGTTCCAAATGCGAATGTGTCGATCACTGGTGCCCCCTCCTGTTGCTAGGACATTGGACTGCCAGGGACACCAAGCTACAGCCTAGGTGAGATAAAGATGGGATCAGCAGGTACTAGAGCTAAACAAGGAGCTCTAGGGATCACAGATTAACCCAACCCAATCCCACCAATCTATACTCCACCCTCTTGACAGTCCCCAGATTCTAGGTACACTTCTACAGAGACCCCAAGCCAGCCCCAATCTCACCTTGACAGCCCCTTGATGCTGGGTGAATGTCTGTAGAGGAACCCAACCACCCTCTCCAGGAGCACTAGGCCACACATTGACCAAGTTATCATTGCCACCACTGGCCAAATGTCGTCCATCCGGGGCCCAGCGCAGCCCACATACTTCTTGGCTGTGGCCACTCAGTGTGGCCACATGGTGTTCTGCTATCCGGACATCATGGTGGTGGATGTGGCCAGAGCGTGAACCACTGGGGAAGGAAAAACGAAATCAGAGGTTCTTTGGCAGAGCCAAACACAAGCAGGCCTGAGCTACCTCAGTCCAGAGATGCACAGTCAGAGGAAGAACAGACAAGATCACAGAGGTCTGGATCCATCACTGACCTGGACAGGATGTAGCTATTCCAACAGAGGGAGCCCACTCTGGCAGAGTGACTGGTCATGTTTCGAAGCCGTTTCTGCTGTTGCACATCCCATAGCTAGAGGCAGAGAAGATCACTAGGATCAGAGATTAGGATGTCGCATTAATATCTTCACTGGCAAGTGCCTTGGATCTGGGGGCAACAGAGCTGCAACACTGGGACAAGTCTTACCTGCACCTCAGCACTGCTGGTGCCCACAGCCAGATAGTTGCCCTCTTTGATCCAGGCCACAGAGGATACATATTCCCCAGGCTGCTCCATTTGCAGCAGCTGCAAGATGTCACCAGAGCTAGCACTCCACAAGTATACACTGTTGTCTAGTGCCACAGCCAGTACATTCCCAGAGCTCCAGTCCACAAGGTTCAGGTCTGCCAGAGAGGAAAGAGATGAGCATCAACCTCCTTGTTTGCCTGCTCCCCAGGCCCTCTTTCTCCATCCATAAGGCAAGAATTACAGTAGGCTGCACTTAACAGTAGTCATTCCGGATTTCGGGGGCATCCAGAATACGGTCAGGCAGGGAAGGAATGTAGCGGCAGGTCTTCCGGCTGGAGCCAGGCGTGGCCTTTTGGCTATAAAGTACCTTCAGTCGATTCTGGTAACCTGTGGCAACAGGAGTGTGTCTTGAACACTGGGAGAACTGACATCTCTCCTCCTTACCTAGAAGGGCAGACTAACCACCTTCCCTCCCCTTAGTCTTAGACAGGAAGAGTAAACTGGCATCTCCGCTCAGTCCTAAGGATGATCTGATACCTCCCTTCAAGAACTGCTCCTTCAGGTCTTACCCTCTGGGGCATTCTGGGGTTTTCCACTGAGCCGAAGGATCTTGGCTTCCTCTACATCAAAACCGTTCAGGTTCAAGGCCCAGGCTTTCTGATGTTCCTGACATATAAAGATGACGGTGAGGCAGGATGATATTATCAAAGGGGAGAGATGGTCCCCTACCTGGAACATCTCTGGGCACATACCTTCTTGGTGGGCGTCTGGCTGTTTTCAGGCTGGTTCTCCTTAGTTAGGAGGAAGCTGGCCACCTCCATCTGGGAAGCACTGCGATGGGGGATATAACGATCACCGCCAGCTTTGCTGGGAGTGGTCTGAGCTTTGGAGCTGGATTTGCCTGGGGCAGGGAGAGAGAGGGCAGACTTTCTGACCATGCTAACAGGGTTGGTAGAATGAAGACTACTCTTGCCATTTCCTTTCCCTCTGTGGGCCGCCGCACCTCACTCACCAGGAGTTCGGCCTGGGGTCCTGCCGGCGCTGTGGGATCGGTTGGCCGCCCGCATGGGTGAGGGGGCCGGTCCCGTCGCTTCCTTAGCTTTGCGCTGCCAGCGTGCAGGGGGTGCATTGGGGATGGGTGCGTCCAGCTGAAGCAGCGAATGCAGGTCACTCTCGAACACGAAATGCGCCATGGGAGTGTCTGGAAGGGGGGTCCTTGCAGTTGGTATCCGCGAAGTCCTTGGGAAAGAGAGCCAACCGTGCTGAGGAAGGCGCGGTTCTCCTTCATTCCCAGCCAGCCACGCTCGGCTGCAGCCCCTCCCAGCCTAGCACCCTTTGACCGCAGCCCCCTAGCTCGGCCCAGCTGCCTCTCACCGTGCGCTCCAAATCAGGTTCCAATCCCAGACAGGCCTTCGCAATTCTGCCGTATGCCTTTTAAACTCTCCGCTTCGAGTACTCATTGGCTCCTTCAAAACTCAACTGTCGCAACTGTCGCCATAGCCCATTGGCCACTATGGCACAGAGGGAGGGTCTTCCGGCTTCAGTCAGAGATCTCACGATAGTCCAGTCATGGAACGTGATTTGAAGAGTGAGCTACGCTAAAAGCCCATCTTTTGTTGTTAAACTTCCCAGCGAATTGGTACTTAAAAGCTTGTAGGGGTGGGTGGGGTGGGGGGTTGGGCGAGGCGGAGTGCATCTAGGGGCGGAGCCTGCGCTGAGTTCGCA